AACACTTAAAATCAGACCTAAGAAACTAGTTATATTTTAATTACAGTTTAACTAAAAACCCCAGGGTTTCTGGCAGGCTGGGATTCCCCAGTATATGCAGCATGCTGGTCAATCTGCAAAAATATCAGTATTTTTATAGATTTTACTGTATCTGATACAGATAAAGATCAGATTATATCAGTTGTTCTCAAACTTTAAAGAGCCATCCACATTTCTTATACAAAGAAATCTTGAACCCCCTATATTATTTGTAAAAGTGCACCAAATTATAATTTTCTTAGGACATATAGCCATACTTCCTTAACCAAATCTAATGCATTTCCAAAAACAATTCATAATTTAGGAATTCAGACACTTAAAAAAAGTGTTTTCCATTATTTGTTATGGAAAAATTTTCTGACTTGTTCCCAGCCACCCAAATAACTTCGATCAATTTCTTGAAATTGGAAACACAAACACCTATCAATCCATTACATTAGCATTAAAAACACCAAGTACCTTACTAAAACAGATTTAAAATCATTAGAATATGAAAACAAAAATTTTTAATAAATTTAATAAAGTAATAAATGAGTTTTAGTGCTATTATAAATTGTGTATTAACTAAATTTTCTTTAACATGCAAGTAGTCGGCAATAAAATCACGACACTGTACAATTTATTAAAATATTACTGTATAAAAAGAAACAATGGAAATAAATGAATTGGTGAACCTATTAAACTATTTTAAGGAAAAGATAATATAAAAAAATACAGAAGAAACTGTCATCTTCCTTTCAATCCAGGAACAAAAACAGTCTTCCTTTGCAGAGATGACTTTTTATTAGAGGCTATACATCTGCAAAATTATGTAAAACAGTTTAAAAAGTTCACTGATAAGCCAAAAAAATTTTAAATATATATATATAATTTCAATATTGTTTTTTGGTGGATTGAAGGAAGATACTTTGTTCTTGGTGATTGGACAGCTCAGAAAGGAAGGTGACTCAGTTTATTTTGTATTTTTTTTTTTTTTAATATACTGTCTGCCTTTTTAATTGAAAGAAAAGTTTTTACTTAAATTTTATGAAAAAAAATCATTAAACTACACTACCATGGCAAAATAAAAACAATACCATTGAAACAAATGAAAATAGATGCTAGGAATGGAGTTGAAACTTTCAAATTTTACACAAATACATTTTGCAGAAATATGTAATATTTTGGCAAAGAATATTTAAATAAACAAAAAGCAACAAAGTTTGTCAAAACTAAACACAAAAATTCTATACAAAGATTTTTCTTTTGCATGCCAAAAAAAATTTCTATATATAGTAACAGAAGTTACATGATGACATTCTAGTCACAAGGTCCTGTCTCAATTAAAAAAAAAATGACAAACTTTGATCACACACAAACAATAAATTTAGGTTTAATCATCATCTGAGAGATTTAATATACATATTTGCAATTACTTATTTCACGTAATTAAAAATTAGTAAGCTCCTATATATATTAGAAATATATATAATATATATAATATATAAATATAAAAAATGTATGTATGTAATATTTTTTTCAATATTAGGCTCTTGTTGGTCAAATTAACTTTAGTTAATGTATTAGCATTTACTTCTAAGTTAAGTCACATATACTGTCTTCAAAATAATTTACTTGTTAAATGTCTAACTATATTTCCTCAATTAAACTGGGGATTTATTTTTAAAAACACACATATTCACTAGGGTTTATTTGAAAGCCCAAGGATTTTTCAAAACAGAACATGAGTGGAAAAAATTGAAACAACCATTTATTGATTGTATTTATGGGTTATACTTACAAACATCTGAAATACAAGGTATCTGAAATAGGAGGCAAAGGTTGTCCGAGTTATCAGGATGTTCTCTGATAATGCAGAAAATGAGGACAAGTACACACAGTAATTTATTACAATCAGTTCTATACAGAAGTTTTAGTGAGCTGAGATTATATTGCTAAATTTATTATTATTATTATTAGAAATGAGCTCAAAAAATTTCATGACAGTAAGTATATGGCAATGAAGTCCTTAGTAACTTACTGACTACACTAATATAATCCAGAGTATTACAAAGACTTCTAGATATAAAAAAATCCCAATTATAATTTTCTTATTGTCAAAAATTTTAAATTACTGTTTAGAAAAAAGATCTATCCAAATTATCAGGAGTTTATTGTAATTACTATTTATAGTTAATAATCAAATTGGAAGAGGCTGAATTTGATTGTTATCATTAATGTCTGCTTTGATGACAGTAATCAAGATTTCTTATACAGTGGATGATCGGTTAACAAACAATCCATTCCAAGACTTTGTTCGCTATCCGAATTGTTCGTTAACCAATTATCGATTTACCATAGGTTTTTATAGGAATTCAATTCATTCTGGAGACCCCTCAAAATAAAAAATATATACTTTCTTACTAAGTTTATTTATATGTAATAATAAAAATACATATATACAGTCTTACATTTTTATTAGTCATGTTTGTTCTGTTTATGGGGGTTAAAGAATCTGTCTAATGTCGATTGCTTCTCTCTCTCTTCTTCAGAATTAATTAATGGCATTGCAATCGTAAAAATCCCCAAGCCTCAACTTGGTTTGGATGCCATTCTAAGACCGTTGTTCTGACATCCTTCCACTTCTTCAAAGGATCTTTAATAACAGATATCCGCATTAATCCTCTTTTTCAGAAGAAAACATCTTGCCAAGTTTCTTGGTGTTATTCATTCAAGAGTTCTTGGCGTTCTTCTGTCGTCAGATCAGTTTCAGGTTCCATTATGAGCTCTTCAATGTTCTTTATTTCTCAGATGTGATTTTTGTTACTCCTTTAGCTGCTGGAGTCATCTTGATTATACAGTATCTTTCTTAGATAAGATTGAACTGCAGCCTACTGTAGATCTGTTCGAGCCATACTGCCCAGCAACATCAGACATCTTCTGCCTACTCTCTACCTTTTTGCTATTATAGAGAGTATAATAGCAAAAAGGTAGAGAGTAGGCAGAAGATGTCTGATGTTGCTGGGCAGTATGGCTCGAACAGATCTACAGTAGGCTGCAGTTCAATCTTATCTAAGAAAGATACTGTATAATCAAGATGACTTTCATCTTGATTATACCTTTCAAAAATAAAAACCTTTCAAAAATAAAAACCAACACAAAACTTAATGAGTGCCCGCCTGACGGTCTCACGAATACTATAAAAGAATTGTTTCTGTCAGAAAAATAAAAGGCTGGAATTACAAGGGAGAGTTTCAAAGTTTGGAGGAATACTATTTGATCACTATATACTGGGTTGAGCGTAGATGTTGATGTCTCCCATGTTCCGAAAAGTTTCTGATTGTTGCCCGAAGACAAGGGAAGACCAATTGGTACTCATTATTTTGTGTCACTTCTTCTTGTGTTTGTTCTGTGAGGTGTTCGTTGTCCGAACATAAAAATTTTTCGTGAAAGTGTTCGTTATCCGATCTGTTCGTTAACCGATCACCCACTGTATATATAAAAGAAATCTTGACTATTGTCATCAAAGCAGACATGAATGATAACATAACACTTGACTACACCGTCAATATATATATTTTAATATTTTAATGGTGCAATTTGTTTAAAATCAATTGTTAGCAACTAACTAAAAAAATAAAAAAGTTAGAGAAAGCTGTAGTAGTATGCAAATTAAAATGTACATGTAAAGATCTGATCTGGTCATTTACATAGATGAAATGGGAATACAGTTCTGAGTTAGAATCCAAGAATGTAAAGCTGCAATCACATTAAAAAATAATCACCACGGACAAAACATTGTGAACAATTTGGATGTGTTATTAACAAAAATAGTATGAAAATACTTTATAAAGAGAAATCCTGTATTTGCATATATTTAAAGAACACACAACAATTGTAAGTGCACATAATACCATTAATTTAAGTAATGGTTTGGAAATAGCGTGTGTGTGGATGGATATCATAGGATATAAAAGCACACAAGCAAACCAGTGTTGGTTAAACAATCCAATGTTTCATAGATTGTGGAAACTGTAAATGAAGTTTTTTGTTTATTGTGGGTCAGTTGTATAATATGTATTTTTTACTTAAATTTAAATATTGTATTACTGTTTTATTCTTATGTTTTTCATTAGTTTTGTGCAACACGAAGAAATGTTTTCTAAAAAAAGAAAACACTGAAAATGCATAGTTATAATAAATATTAGTATCTAAACACCTAAGTTTTGGTTCTTTATCTCTGATTAATGCAGTTACGAATGTAAAAACGGTTGATAAGTTTTAATTTCTTTTAACTTCCAGAGTTAAAATTATATAACAATTGAGTAGTCAAAATCTTGATTCCTACATCTTCTGGTTCAAATTTACTATATCTCTTTTGATAAGAAATGGTGAGTTTGATCCTAATTACCCTTTGGCTGATATGTTTGTGTCTTGTAAACTCAATTGTAACTTTCCCACAATCAACATTCGACAATATTTATAATTTCAAAAACTGTTCTCATATACCTTAGAATAGGAAGTACTTTCCAACTCTAGAAAATTCAAAGAGGTAAATTTTAGTTAAATTCCTCCTGTCACTATAAACTTCATTTACCTATACAGTGCAGTACTTCAAGATATCTCAAACCCTGGGTTTATTTGAATCCTGGGGTTTGGAAAATATGATATTTCCAAAAATCTATCATATAAACAAAATAAGTATTGATAGTTAGAAATGAAATCAAATGTTTTTGTGAAAGAATTTGACTTTTTTAAGTTTCCATGTTTGATAGGTTCTAATTAATACAAACAAACAACAAAGGAATAATACACACAGCTTTCCACTCAAGTCTCAGGTTCTGTTTTAGACCAAATATTGTGTGGGAAAGATTTGATAGTAAAGCCAAAATAATTGCAAATTTTCTGGCTTTCACAAGTTTGACAGGTTTTACTAAATGTAAACATACTGAATATAGAAATAGCTTTAAAAACAAACTTACAGATGTTGGCATTCCTGGTGGTGAAATAAATCCTCCACTAAATCCTCCAGCTGATGGTTGCTATTAAAAACAAATATATTAATTGAAATTTATATACAGCAATTTGTATGTAAATTTATAAAGTAAAATTTCTAAAAATTATTGAAAATTTATAATATAGAAAAACAACTTAAAATTTATGTAAAATACTGTGATAATGTAATCAGAAATTTCAAACATTATACAAAAACTAATAATTCATAAATTTATTTGATACAATAAAATGGGGCTATAATCTGTTCCTCGAAAGGACACTTTTCATGAATTCATGAAAGTCCACAGCTTTCTCTGTAGACTTTCATGAATTCATGAAAAGGAATATTAGAAGCAAAATATTCCCTCACTGTCACACACAAATAAAGTAAATTTAAAAATTAATTTGATTTACATTTTGAAAATTTCAAAACAACTTTTAAAAGGATTTTAAAAACATTTTAATTTTCAATTCGATGTTCCAATGAAAATGAGCGTTATCAGCTCAGTTGTTCCATGTGTTATATTAAACAACATAGACACTGAAGAATTGGGAAAAATGCTAAATGTTGGAAATGGATGAACACAGTTAGAAAGTACAATTGGAGCAGAAAAAGCAGCAAAAGATCAGCAAATAAACATGAAGCAGATGAAGTAGCAGGAACACAGCATTTGACATTAGTTGAAATTGAGATAGCAGACCCACCATCATCTCCTGAGAAATGTGACATAGTTCCAACAACTATCAACAAGGTGCCTGCCAAAGGCAACCTTGAAATGGAAGTTAAAAAAATGAAAACAGCCTCTTGTAACAAAAATTTCCAAAACTATCAATTGGACAGAATGTAAGAAGCAAAGTACTAAATGGAGACCAAGCAAAGATTTATGCAAAATCAATAGCTAGGGTCATAAATATTGAGGATGATGAATTTATCAACTTTGCACTAAGGTCAGAAAACTGGTTCTTAGTGTACAATGACTCAATTTACATTGAGCAAAGAAATTTTATATAGTATCAGAGAGGGAGGAAAAGAAGTTAGGGTATTGGAAAACGTTAGCAAACTATCTTTCATTGGAGGCCAAGGTTCAAGAAAATGCAATTGCTTTAAAAAGTGTTCAACAAAAAAAAAAAAATGTTTGCACAATCCTCTTTCTTGGGCAATTCTAAATGTCATAACAGTCAATCTTGTTACAATGAAAAAATTTTCTATATCATCATATGAACTATTCATATAAATGTTTAAAACTAAAAATTTTCTATTTCACTATGACTGTGTTTATTATAGCCAGGGCTCAACACACAAGAGTGTTTGTCTGTGGCTGCTAGACTGTTAGATTTGTAGGAGGCTAAAAACTACAATAATACCAGTAATAAAAATTTTAAATATTGGAACCAAAAAAATTTTTTTTTAATTTTTAATGTGGCATTTATGTTAACTAATGAACATTATCTTTAAACCTTTATCTTCAAACATTATCTTTGAATTGTTATATGTGAGGTCCTGAACAGGTCCAAACCATCACAAGTTCACATTAAAATTACTTGTTGTTGGAATGAAAGAAAAGAGATTTTAATTTTGTTTGCAGTTAAACAAGGGTTTTTGTTTATTTAAGAACGTGATGCAAAGGTAAACAAGTGAGTTCCAAGTATGACTCTAATGCTTATTAAGTTACCGATAGTAGCATTGAGCCAGAGAGTCTGAACTTGACACTAGCGCTCGTATCCCATAATTGGAATTAAATCAAAAATCAAGGAGAAAAAAGATTAACAAAAAAGGAATAATGGGTTAAATTATGAGCACAGGTTTCTCAATTCCAACATCATCTCCAATATGAGTCAGGGGATGGTGTCGGATAGAGCATCTCAAACTTTTTCCCAAGACTTGAACTGACCCTATTTCACCTGGAAACAGGAGGCAGGACCAATCGAGAAATGACAGGAAGAAGTCTAAATCAATTAAAAGAAGGGGTTTGGGGAAGACTTCTATAAAATTCCCAAACTTCAAGGGCACAGCACACAGTGGTAGACAGCACTGATGCCCAACTCCAATATTGTGCAAACATCTAAACCTGTGTCCCAAGCAAAATTGGTATAACTCAATTCTCCTAACACCACCTTCCGAACTCCTTGACGTCACTGCTCTGGGGCTAACTGAGTCTCCACATCAGAAGGAAGCCAAATGCCAAAAAAGCAGGACATTTTGGTTGCCATCGGTTAATTGAACCAGGAATCCACCATATACCTATGTAAGCAGATCCTTAGTATAAATAAATGGGTTTTGTTGTAAAGGTATCTGTGCCTCTGCCACCACTGTCCACATACAAAAGGACCCTTTGCTATTCTGATAAGGAATTAACAATTCCACCCATTTTCAGCCCCCTCATTTATTATTCCATTTATCCTATGATGGTATTGTGAGGATCCGAATTCGGACTTTTCATGTGTTTATATCATTTCACATTGTAGCTATACTTTAGTTCAATAAATGTCAACTGTTACACCTGGGAGTTAAACATCTGTTAAGTTCTCAGACTTAATAACGACGCTTTCTCAGCACCTTTCGACCTAATATCTCCGTTTCAACAATCCAACATGAAAAACAGACAACAAAGTAGCAGTCGTCGCCCGTCTTTCGAAAAGAGAAGTTGTCATTAGTACCTTGTCCTAAGTGCCTCACTATTCGGATATCTGCGAATATATCCTACAAAAAGATCATCGGAACCATCGACTAACACCCTTGTGGATATTGTTCTATCATTCTTACGGATACTTCCTCTACCGGACTGACATTCCGAACTTTCTTCCCTTCACCAAGACTGCTTGAGAATCTCCATCAAGACAGCAAAAACAAAAGGTATTTATTGCCACACAAAACTTCTGTAAACACTCTCTCTCAAATCGGGGAAAAACGTAATATCTTAATACTATCACATCGAGGAATGTATCTAACAGCAGCCCTAATGTATAGCCTATCGTTAACCATTAAACAGTTGTTACGTTAAAAAGGTCTCTGAGTAAGTCACTTCCGGTGTGCTGTCTCTCCTTCTATCTGGACTCTGATTGCTCACACACGCGACCGCTCACGCCCAAACGAAACGGTTTCTGTGTCTAGCCGTGAAGACACAGTGATGTCAGTCCTGACGAAAACTGTCATTGCGATCTTCGCCGACGCGATGTCGACCCTTCAGTCACGTGGTGCCGAAGTATAGGGAGGCCCTTCGGCATTGTCACAGTATAATAAAAAATTTTTAAAACATGTATTTTATAATATTAAAGTATTTGTCATTATTAAAAAGTACTTGAGCTGATGAGTAGATCCATATATTTACCAGTATCTCTTCATAAAAGTTTGAAATGAATATTTTATCAGAGATTCTGGATTTTTACCACTCAATATTGGTACATGTCTGGATTTACTGGTGATTTCTAAGAGTTACTGGATTTCAGACTTTTACAGTAATATTTATATCATTCAAATGACATTCTAAATCCATATTTATATTTCCCAGATCTCCATCTAACTTCATCATCAAACTGGTCTTCATTTGGAGGTAAGATATAAGTGCTAATAAAAATGAACCACAAATTTCTTGCTGACTTTGAGTCATCTAAACAGACAAATGGAATGAAGTATTGAGAAAATACAGAAATAAATGTTATAGTAAACGATTTACGAGGACTGTTCGGAAAGTTCGCAGCCTCAAATAGAACAACAAACAAAATAATGTTAAAACTTTTTTTATTTTTCAATGTAGTCTCCTTTGTTAGCAATGCACTTATTCCAGCGATGTTCTAGCTTTTTTATGCCATCACAATAGATCGATTTGTCAAGGTGTGCAAAATACTCATTCACTTCAGAGATGACTGTCATTTGAGTGGAATCTCTTTCCAGCCAAGAATTTTTTTAGGTTTGGAAAAGGGTGGAAGTTACTGGGGGAAAAATTGGGTGAGTACGGTGGATGTGTAACTAATTTGAAGCGAAGTTCGTTTATCTTTTGTTCAGTGATTCTGGAGGAATGTGCAGGTGCATTATCGTGGTGGAACAGAACCTTTTTCTTCAAGTGTGGCCTCTTTTCTTCGATTTCTTTCTTCAGTTTTTCCAAAAGTTCACAGTAATAGACAGCATTAATGGTCTTTCCTCTTTCTAGGTAGTCAATAAAGATGATGCCTTTAGCATCCCAAAAAACCGAGGCCATCACTTTCCCCGTTGATGGAACTGTCTTTGCCTTCTTTGGTGGTGGTGAACTGTGGTGTTTCCATTGCTTTAACTGTTCTTTTGTTTTAGGAGTGTAGTAATGGATCCACGTTTCGTCAGTAATCACAAACCGACACAAGAAATCCTGTGGGTTTTTCTGGTAGAAGCCCAAACACTCCTTTGATATCAAAGTGCAAACACGTTTTTGCTCAGCGGTCAGCAGACACGGCACCAACATTGCTGAGACCTTCGTCATACCCAAATTTTCAGTTAGGATGTGGTGCACTCGGTCGACAGAGATGCCTGTTGTCTCAGCTATCTCAAGCGTTTTCAAACGGCAATCTGCTAATACCAAATTGTGAACTTTATCGATATTTTCTTCAATGACAGCAGTTGACGGCCGTCCACTGCAAAGGTCATCTTCCACACTCTCTCTGCCATAGTTAAAAAGGGCTGTCCATTTTTTCACAGTGGTGTACGAAGGAGCAGACTCTCCCAAAACTTCATCCATGTCAGCTTTGATTTGAGATGGGGTCAAACCTTTTTTCGTCAGGTATTTTATGATCGCACGAGTCTCCGTCTTCTCCATTTTCGACAAAGCATGTGCACACTGACTATCTGCTAAGCTGTCGTGGCAAAACTTTATGACAAATCAAGCAAAAATTGGTATCGTATCTCTAGCACAGATGGCTGAATTATTCCCACCAAAAATAAAATTGATCACAGCGCCGCATATAGGCAAGGCTGTAAACTTTCCGAACAGGCCTCGTAAAAAAGAATACTAAGATGCTACATAAACAGAAGAAATTATACAAAAGGCAGAAACTATCAAACTAGTATTCTATTATAATCAAAAGTTAAAACCATACAAAAGGCTACCCTAATGTACAGTACATTACAGACCATTTTAAGAATATTTGGCATGGCAGAAGCAAACATCCAGATGTAAATGTTTTAAACATAAAAGAAGTCAAATAATAAACATGTATATAATTTATTTAAACAAATTATGTATGTTGTTATATCAGAGTTAATATTGACAATTTATATAATAATCCTTATAGAATATGTATCATAACAAATATCAATCATATTAAAATTTCCAACTGTAACTAACCTGCATTGGAGAAACAGTTCCTTCATAATTAATTTGATTTATAGTTGCTTCACCATTTATTGATAAAGAAGTAACTCTGTAAATTGGTATTCTATGTTTAAATTCACAAAAATGTTGACCATTTACTGCAATCTAAAATTAAAAAATATAGTATAAATTAAAATAATAGTAATAAACAATAAGTTAATAAAAATATAAAATCAATTAAATCTGAATCCATTACAAATAAAATTCAAGATTCAACATGACAAGCAAGACTGAAATAATTTATCTGCTAAATAAATCATATATATACAGTAGATCATCATTTATCCAAAAGCCGATCAACTGAAATGTCAGTTAACTGAAAGCGTTCCAGTCGGGACTATGTCGCGCTGAATCGAACGTTTTTGATACTAGATTAACTTACAAAATATAATTTTTTTTATATTTTGTAAGTTATTTCTAAAACTTTCAAAATATTAAGTTATAATATATTTATTTTGTTTGTACAAAATAAAGAAATAATTTTTAACTATATAATAGCCACAATTATTATTATAAAAATTTTCATTAGGCTTAACATCAACGAACGAAAATTCAACGTGAAGCAACACGCAATACAGAAAACTTTCAACATGGTATAGGTTAATATATTTTTTCGCACATAATCAGTTATCCGAAAAATAAGTTATCCGACCAGCCCATCCCCAATTGATTCAGATAAACAACACTACTGTGTATATATATATATATATGATTTAGCAGATAACAAAATTATATATATACAATAGAACCCCTCTAATTAATCACCTTTGGGACTGGGGGTATGGTCGGAACACAAAAAAAGGTCACATTATCAAGAAAAAAGTAAAATAAACAATCTTCCCCTTTGTCCAGTCTTTGTAGCACTGCTAATTTTTCATTTAATGAAAGAGTAACGTGTTTACCTTTCACTCCTGACATATTGAAAACACACACAAAACTGTACATGTACACACAATGTAAAACATATACTGTAAAAAACACAGAAAAACGCCACGGACAGTGAGTCACCGATGAGTTGGACAAGTTTCTCGACTCCGACCACGGTTGGATTAACTGGAGTGACGGACTAGCCGAGGGTGGACTAGAGGGGTTCTGCTGTATAATTCATTACATGCCATATTAAGATTTTATATTGTGTAAATCTTTAGTGTTATAATAAAGGAATTTTTTTGCAATAATTGAGGAAAGAAAAAAAAAATCAAGTTTTCTTTCATACTGAACAAAAGTTGGATAAAATCCAATCTGATAAAACAAGCTATAAATTATAAATCTATCATCATCTATATAAAATCTGTAAAAACAATGCTTTCTGAATTTACAATATTTTATTCTTTGATAATTTATCAAAAAACTTCAAATTCTAAAAAAAAAAGTTGATTCTTTATGCACGAAATACAATGTCTCTTTCTGCAAACAATAATTAAGATTTTGCAATATATAGAACTGTAGATCCAACCTATTTTGTTTAATTTGTGTAACAGGAGAATGTCTTATTCACAAAACCAAATTGATGATTTCAGGATACAGAAAAACATTTAATGCAAACTATTGATAATAAAAATAAGTAATTGTAAATTTTTAATTATTTCCATTAGTTAATAATAAATGCAAAGTCTACAATTTTTTTTTAAATATTGCCAAAAGTTTACAGATAATTGTTAATTATTAAATTGAAAAAATATATATATCATATTTACTTGTGTATAAGACAAGGTTTCTATTCATTTTTCACTGCTTCAAAAACCTAGGTTGTCCTATATGCAGGAGCAAAAAATTCTTTGCATTGTGGCCAACATGGCAACATTTCAATACCTTTCTCATATAGTCTGTCTTCCTCTTGAGTTCATTCTTCCTATGTACATTGTACTGGTGCCAGTCCTTGTACTCCAAATAAAATTATTTTATTTTTTTAAGATTGTGATTATTTGGTCTAAAACCTAAAGTGCTTTTGCAACAATTTCTGGGAACCGAGTATAGTTCATGCTGCCATTGCATGATTGCATGATGCTGCATGCATAGGTCTACAGTCTATTTATCATAAGTTGGTGTTTACTATAAACAAATTAAGACACACACCTCTTTGTTTACTGGTTTAATCCTACATCCATCAATTAAATCCATATTGCATCTCAATCCATATTGCATCTCAATCCTCTTTATAAATAACAAAAAAATAGTTTTTTGTTATTTATAAAATTCGTTAATGAAATTGAAATACAGATCACTTAATGATTATAAATGTAGTTATTTCATATTAGTCAAATTGTTATTTTTAATGATTATTAGCACATTCTGAATCTATAATATAGTGATAGACAGCACGCTAATCATTTGTTACAAAAATTTTTACCATATAAGCGTTAAATTACACACATATGTCACTACATATGGGAAGCCCTCATCACCAACGTATTAAAGCCCTGCAACACCCCCACTCTGGATTTGCCCCCTTTGTGGATCAGTTTGTACAGTTATATAAAACATCGCAACTAAAACCACAATATAGAGCCGTCTAATGCATGCACAGTATAAGCGCGTGTTTTTTATTTAAATATCTTTTTACATTCCACCATTGCTGTCATTCCAAAATGCTAATTAAGATTGGAATGTTTTAAAATTTTGTATTCAAAAAAGGTTCTTATATCTTCTAATGACCTGAAGAAGACGAAAATGTATATCGTTGAAAGCGCTCTTCAATTTAGTGACATACGTGTGTAATTTAACACTTATATGGTAAAAATTTTTGTAACATTCTGAATCATTATAAAATAGACTTTTTCCAGTCATGCCCATTGTAATGTTTTGGNTTATTACCAAAATTTATAATAATCATCAGAATCAATCCCCCTAATACACAAACCTTCCTGCAAAATTTCAGAAATTTTAAATCAAAAAGAACAGGAGTTATTAAGCTCCTAAAAGAGTGAAGAAAATTGTTCCCCCCACACACACTAACATCCATATATACAAATCCCTGAATTTTTGTTTGCATTTTTCAATGTTTCAAAGTCCCAAGCCCAAAAATGTAAAAATATTAGGTGGTCGTTTTTTGACTGATTGCCACACTTTATACTTCTGTTATATATAACAGAACCAGAAAAGTAAAAATTTATTCTTCATTTCAGTTATAACTGACAACATACAAATTAAATAAACAAAAGAGAAGTTATACTAATGTTATATAAACATCCTTCAAATCCATTCAAAATATTTGTTTTATGAAATGATAAAAGGAATGGTGATTATAAAATACATGTATAAAATTAATTTTACAATTTTACATGTATTGTATATGTTATATGTTTAAAAATAAATGAATGAAATTAGTTTGTAAACAAATTTTTCTATTAAATTGCTGTAAGCATGCATGTATACATTTTCCTATTAAATTTTTTTATAAATTTAACACAAGTTCTATCACTCACTCCATTCTCCTTTTAAGAATTATAGCTATTATAGTTTGTGTATTAATATTATCTATTTAAAAAAAATCATGCTTTATAGTTACCATCTGGCATTAGGATGTGCCACACCTTGCACTCTTATCATCCGACCAGGTTGAAGTCCTCCTGGAATAGCACCAACAAAAGGAAGAGCCTAAAAAATTTGAATAGAAAAGAAATCAAAAAATTTATTATTTATTACTTTCATATTCTGAAATTATAAATCATTAAAAGGTTTATGTAATTAACATACAGTCAATCCCCCATAACACTGTTGATAATTCTGTTTTATATGAATTGTATGTTGTATAAGTCATTTAGATTTACAAATACTGTACGTGAGCCATTCACAGCCCAGCACACATTTGTAAAATCTAAGTGACTCGTACAACATGGAATTATCAACAGTGTTATAGGTGGGTTGACTGTATAGTTCATATTATCTGAGATATAATATATCAAACTTTATAATAAATATATAAAAATAATCATTAAAAAGTAATAATTTTTAATTGTTATTCACTAACATATACTCTTATTCAAAGTAATTTTTTTTTAATAAAAAAATTCAAAATAATGCATGAACATCTATTCTAAAATTAATTTTCTGTATCAGAAAAATGATCTCTATTTGGTTGCTTTGAGTGTCTTCCACAATTTAATGCAGTGGTCTTCAAATCCTTTGAATCTTAAAAATGACAAAAAACACAAAAGATTAAAAGAAGCAAAATACTTGCTTTTATAAATTGTAGAATGATTAGACTTGAAATTTCAAATTTTATCCCATATACATTGTGAAATATGAGTTTTTTAGAATATCTTTAATGTCAAATTTTAAAAATGTTGAAAAATAACTTACTTTTAACCTTGTAACCAGAGTGGTTGTGTAATACTTCAGCGAATATTTGACACCTCTTCTGGGCTCTTCCACAGGCTTTTTCTAGAAATACTGAGCTAGAAGTTGACAATCAAATACTTTCTTTTGAGCCGTTTATCTTTCAAATCATCCCACATGCCAACCTTCGAAAGATAAACAGCTCAAAAGAAAGTATTTGATTGTCAACATCCAGCTCATTATTTGTAGAAAAAGCCTGAGGAAGAACCCAGAATGGGTGTCAAAAACGTTCGCTGAAAAGTATTACACAACCACTCCGGTTACAAGGTTAAAAGTTAAGAGTTATTTTTAGTGCATTCTGGTGTGTGGAGACGAATAAATAAAAATGTTTTCTAACTGTGATTGCTACTTTACAAATTGTGATAGATATGAAACGATATACATGCATTTCCACGAACAGAATTATAAAACTTAATCTGATTATACACTAAAATGAGATAAGGAAATCAGACAGATTGTTTAGGAAAAAAGTTGGGAAGAAGAAAAGACCTGAGAATCCTTTTTTGTGTAGTTATATACCTCGGATGGATCACTAGTAAACGATAGTCAATAGGTTTCAGAACTTATTTTATCACCTCTTTCTTATAATGGTCCACCTTGCATGGACAATCTTCATACAGTTATCTATGCTTGCCTCCTTAACGCTGGAAGATCTTTGTCTTCAGCACTGTAGTTTCAGGAATCTACTTTCTCTCATTATTCTCACAAACTGGAGCCACTTCTAAGGTTAAACCCTCAGGATGTCTTATACAGTTCTCCGATATTCTGACGAAAATTGTCTGTAGTCGCCTCTGATTGCCCTGGCTGCAGTCCCAAGCACAACTCAATTGCATCTTTTGTCACCACGAGGTCTCCACCAAATTTCCTCCACTCTTTCAATTCCCCAGCGAGTTGTTAACTCTTGTTTCCCCAACATCTGTTCCGAGAACTGGTGAATCCACCCAAGGAAAAAATAATTAAGATAGAATTTTCTAAGATGGTCAAGACAAAGAACAAAGGAAATACTAAGCCTAAAATATAAAATATATACAAAAATGTACAATAATATGGCTGACGGCCACAAAATACAATCTCGATTAGAAACTTTCTGTAATTATAGTTTATTTTCATCCAATTAAATATTTAACAGTTTTATAATAAAAATTGGATAAATTACACTTAAATTGTTATAGAAAATATTCTGTAAAAATCAATCATTTTTGTAACTTTAATTATAAAAAAACTCACTTTATATTCATCTCCTTCTGTCAAAATTAATATTTCAAAATTTTGACCAACTACAAATGGAAAATAAGGACCATGACTTTCTTCTGGACCCCATTGTTGATTCTGAAGACTATTTCTTACTAAGCGTGGAGGTGGAGAAAATACTGGGCTAAGATGAAGAGCAATATCATCTTGGGAACTTGAGCCTGGACCACACTGAAGATTTATTGAAAAACTGAAAAATAATATTCAAACTATAACTAATGTAAGGTTTTATGTATCATCAGTTATTAAGCTGTAAACTATGCCACACGTCTCTCACATGCTAAAGACTATACAGATAAATCACTAACAAATGAGAAGCATTTGTTAGTGATTTCTTTATTTGTTACTATATTACATATGTAGTTCAGTTTTAATTATTCAAGTATCATTTCTATTAAATTCATTAAGTAAAAATATTTTTAATTACTTAACTTTAAACATATTAATCTANTTTCTAACTGTGATTGCTACTTTACAAATTGTGATAGATATGAAACGATATACATGCATTTCCACGAACAGAATTATAAAACTTAATCTAATTATACACTAAAATGAGATAAGGAAATCAGACAGATTGTTTAGGAAAAAAGTTGGGAAGAAGAAAAGACCTGAGAATCCTTTTTTGTGTAGTTATATACCTCGGATGGATCACTAGTAAACGATAGTCAATAGGTTTCAGAACTTATTTTATCACCTCTTTCTTATAATGGTCCACCTTGCATGGACAATCTTCATACAGTTATCTATGCTTGCCTCCTTAATGCTGGAAGATCTTTGTCTTCAGCACTGTAGTTTCAGGAATCTACTTTCTCTCATTATTCTCACAAACTGGAGCCACTTCTAAGGTTAAACCCTCAGGATGTCTTATACAGTTCTCCGATATTCTGACGAAAATTGTCTGTAGTCGCCTCTGATTGCCCTGGCTGCAGTCCCGAGCACAACTCAATTGCATCTTTTGTCACCACGAGGTCTCCACCAAATTTCCTCCACTCTTTCAATTCCCCAGCGAGTTGTTAACTCTTGTTTCCCCAACATCTGTTCCGAGAACTGGTGAATCCACCCAAGGAAAAAATAATTAAGATAGAATTTTCTAAGATGGTCAAGACAAAGAACAAAGGAAATACTAAGCCTAAAATATAAAATATATACAAAAATGTACAATAATATGGCTGACGGCCACAAAATACAATCTCGATTAGAAACTTTCTGTAATTATACAAATTTATAATGTGTCCTTAAGCTTTCTCCATTACCCTAGAACAGTGATAGACATCCATAATTTTTGGTTTTTCTGTAAGTAAATATAAAATTAGAGGAAAAAAATAATATAATTAGTGTTTATAAATATATTCAATACTAAGTAAATCTTAGATTTTTTATTCAACTTTTACATAGTTTAAGTTATACATATATCCAATGCTATGATAAAACATGTCCAGCAATGAGTTGTTTAACTTTTCCAGAAACATTTAAAAATGTGTAACAGATAAATACAAATTTAAATGTATTTATCTGTTATATTTTATTACAAAACTCTAATAGATAATTAAAAATATAAAAAATAAAATATTTATTATAAAATAGCAAAAAAGCTTATTTTGAGGGTAGGATGGGTTTTATAAAAAATTGTAAATGCTGATAACAAGTAGTCATTAAATCCAACCCTACTCGAGATAACCCCCTTTATTTCCTTAACCCACCTTACAAATAACCCCCTTTATTTCCTTAACCCATTGGCCTTTTATTACCAAAATTTATAATAATCATCAGAATCAATTCCCCTAATACACAAACCTTCTTGCAAAATTTCAGAAATTTTAAATCAAAAAGAACAGGAGTTATTAAGCTCCTAAAAGAGTGAAGAAAATTGTTCCCCCCACACACACTAACATTCATATATACAAATCCCTGAATTTTTGTTTGCATTTTTCAATGTTTCAAAGTCCCAAGCCCAAAAATGTAAAAATATTAGGTGGTCGTTTTTTGACTGATTGCCACACTTTATACTTCTGTTATATATAACAGAACCAGAAAAGTAAAAATTTATTCTTCATTTCAGTTATAACTGACAACATACAAATTAAATAAACAAAAGAGAAGTTATACTAATGTTATATAAACATCCTTCAAATCCATTCAAAATATTTGTTTTATGAAATGATAAAAGGAATGGTGATTATAAAATACATGTATAAAATTAATTTTACAATTTTACATGTATTGTATATGTTATATGTTTAAAAATAAATGAATGAAATTAGTTTGTAAACAAATTTTTCTATTAAATTGCTGTAAGCATGCATGTATACATTTTCCTATTAAATTTTTTTATAAATTTAACACAAGTTCTATCACTCACTCCATTCTCCTTTTAAGAATTATAGCTATTATAGTTTGTGTATTAATATTATCTATTTAAAAAAAATCATGCTTTATAGTTACCATCTGGCATTAGGATGTGCCACACCTTGCACTCTTATCATCCGACCAGGTTGAAGTCCTCCTGGAATAGCACCAACAAAAGGAAGAGCCTAAAAAATTTGAATAGAAAAGAAATCAAAAAATTTATTATTTATTACTTTCATATTCTGAAATTATAAATCATTAAAAGGTTTATGTAATTAACATACAGTCAATCCCCCATAACACTGTTGATAATTCTGTTTTATATGAATTGTATGTTGTACAAGTCATTTAGATTTACAAATACTGTACGTGAGCCATTCACAGCCCAGCACACATTTGTAAAATCTAAGTGACTCGTACAACATGGAATTATCAACAGTGTTATAGGTGGGTTGACTGTATAGTTCATATTATCTGAGATATAATATATCAACAGGAACATAAATAATCATTCAAATTTAAAATGATTTAAGTACAGTACATTTCTGACTTCATATCTTAAAAGTGTGCTACAGTAATAAAAACTAAACCTACTAAAAACTAGAGAAATAACTTTATAGAAGTATATTTTGTTCTTAATGTAACATTTATTATATAAATTGGCATGAAAAACTTAAGCAACAATGTAATTTTTAAGCAGACAGCCATAAAATTGTAGAAAAGGGCTTCTTGCAATCAGTACAATGAACACCCATTTCAGTAGAAAGGTGATTCATATGAAGAAGACATCCAGGTGATGTGAGGGCACACAAAATGCATGCAGCAAGACAATAAAAAGGAGGTTTTGATTCTATACTGTATGCATTCTATTCATTTTTGCACTAGTATGCTTTCTTCATCCTTTAAGTACAAAATACTCTGTCTGTATTCTGAATTTCATGTCTCTTGTGATTTCTTGTGTGAGTTATATCAAAAAGCAATTGTTGCTTAAGTTTTGCACACCAGTGTAGTACAGGAAATCCTCATTAGTTCGAAATAATCATGACTTTGAATTATCCAAGATTACATTTTTCTGTACAATATGTTTTTTGTATATGTTAAATGTAATGTAACTGATGGAATTTATAAAGCAAATGGAATACAGCTGTGTACAGAACACTATTTTATTTATATTATTATTACTAATTAATGAAACTGCAAGTAACAACACATCTGATGAGAACCTCACAGGTTTCTAGATAGGTTTTATAAAAAGTTATGCAGAATTCCTCAAAATATAACCCAAATTATTTTAAAATTTGCCTAAAAAGTAGTAATTCATCCAAATCTAATGACTAAGGGCCCTACAAATATTTCAATCTGCTACTTGTAGCCCAATCTTGCAATCCCAAAACTGGGTTTTTAAGAAAGTAAAAAAGAGGTTAGTCCATGGATAAGGTGACACCCGAAAATATGTTACTGTAAAAGCAACATATTTTCAGGTCACAGATACTTATGAATTAGCAGTCACTGTTGACCAGATTAGAGTTGTTCTCTTATAGTATAGAGGCACTTTGATCTACACATAAGTTAACATATGTGTATCATAGTTCAGATAGAATTTTTACTTCAAATTTCAAAGTAACCATATTTCAAACTAACTGAATTCCTTAACATGTAAATCTCTATAGCCTCAACTGGGATAAATAGAATGGTTAGAAATTAACAGGATTTTGATCTATTCAAGTTTGAATTAATGAGGTTTTTCTGTACTAATGTTGCTTTGTAATTCAAAAGATAGTTTAAGTGCAGTTTTTTTAGCCACAGTGTTAATAACAGAGTTCAAGTTTCCTTTTCAAGCCCAAAAATTTTAAAATTGCTTAATCTTATTATACACATACACACAACCAAAAATAAAAGTGTGGGATACTTATGGGAAGACTATAAAAATAAATATATGCCAAAATAGAAAGTGTAACTAAGAATATTTTGTGAGGTTTGCCAACCCAGAAAAGGAGAGTTAGTTAAACTCACATCAGGATAATCAAGGGACTTATTGTATGTGTGTAGTGGTGTTGGACATACTAACATAAGCACCTTTACAAATTAAATCAGTTTATTTTATAAAAGATGGGATTTACACTTATGTCAGGTATCTCTCTATCAAAGTTAGAGGCAAGTCCAGCTGGTCTCAGAGTATTTGTAGTTGTTGACAGCTCTGGGACTGTCTTGATCAAGTTCAGCAGATGGAAAATGACAGCAAAGCACAGGCAGGAATGATGGAATTTCATTGAGATTGATGAAAGCACACAAAAACAATGGAATAGGAGGAGTGCATGGGTTACTTTTGATGGTAAAAATGAAGAAATCCACCACTGTCTTTGAAATCTGGGGTATTTAAAGGATTTCATTCCCAAATTTCCTATTCCGATTCCCTCTCATCATTTTCTGATTGGTCTCCTCCCAGGTGGAAACAAGAGCAGATCAGGTCATAAAAAAGGTTGATCTCCAGTATTCAGCTCGACAGTCTCTTGACTCTGACTGGATGATGATTTGAAGTTCTGTCATCATCATTCAGTCAGAGTCAAGAGACTGTCGAGCTGAATACCGAAGATCAACCTTTTTTAACTGTTGCTCATATTTTTGATCATTATGGTTTTCATTTGATCATTACGACATTTCGGAATTTTAACTATTTAATGTGCCATTTTCCTTTTGTTAAACTGAGACAGGAAACTGGGAAGTTTAATTACAATCATTTGTATATGAGTGTCAGGGTCAAAGTTCAAACTCTCCATTGATTTTAGTTAACAAGTGTCTGAGTCAACTCAGGACTCACATTGTTTATGTTCACATTACTTCATGCTGCATTCATTTAATGCAATTTCTCTTTTTTTGTATTAAAGATATATTTTAGCATGAATAATGACAGGTTATGACTCAGTTTGGAACTCACAATTTCTAAACATGAGCACCCCAGGTTTTTATTTTTGAATGCATAAAACCAAGAATACTATAAAAGCTGAAAGAATTGTTCTTACCTTTTAGTGTATTTATGTGAACAAAAAGCTTTTAAATTTTTTTTAAATATTTTATTTTTTACTTTTTTAGTTTTATGTACAGAATTCTGAATTATTGAATTTTTTTGTAACTTTTCAATTAAAATGATAAGCCCAGACAATCTAGACAGTATGACTAAAAACGGGCAAATAAAAGCTACATGTAGCTCTATTTGTTATCAGATTTTATTTTAAAATTTTTCACAAATTCTTTGCTAATTGCTAAAATTGTTTGCAAACTCTGGAAAACATTGTCATCAGGAATACATACGCATGCAGTTTCAACTAGACTGGAAATTGGAAATTAAATGAAAATTGAGTTACAGGATTCTGGACAGAGTAAATTAATAAAAAGTATATAAAAACACTTGATAAACTACTTCAGTATAAAAATTATACTAAATAATTTATTATAATTTATATTATTGATAGTATGCTTTTGACCAGATGTGTGTATTTGTATATATATTTTAGTGTAATAAAAGCAACTCAAGCTAAGTAGTCAGTCTCTCAACTATTGAGAGGATTTCTAAAATCGTTCTATGGATTTATTAACAATTACAAATTTTTAAAAGAAAGTTACACAATCAATCCTTGGTTTTTGAACATAATTCATTCCTAAAAGTTGTTCAAAAACCAATTTGTTCTAAAACAAACAAATTTTTCCATAAAAAAAAACAAAATGGATTAATCCATTCCTGACTTCCAAAATAAAGACCTTGTTTTTTATCTTTTAGCTGTGTATCATGCATTAAAATGCCTACAAATGCATTATAATATAACAATATACCAATTAAATAAAGAATAAAGTTATAAATAAAAGAATTTCATTCATCCTAACCTTTAAACACTAATTCTTGGATGCCATTCATATTATGTCAATTAATGTGGTTTTTATTAATTAATTTGATTTAATTCAACTGTGGCACTTAACAGTATCTTTCTTGAATGCACATTGAAATCTAATTTAAATAGCAATGTCATCAGTGATTCATGTTGTGACATCTAACAATACAAGGCAATCTCATCATCACTAACTTCTAAATTAGTACTTTCGTTGTTGCTTGGTTGTGTTGTTGACTTTAACATAGGAAGTACAAGGAATTGACAATCTGTCTCTCTAATCTGTGGCTGGTCAAATAGCTCATTTGGCAACACAGTTATCTTATGGCAACCAATGCAATTAAGAGTTTGAAATTCTGCTCATGAGCCAATTTGTTCATTCAAAGTGAACCAAAGTGAGTCATTCAAAACCCAAGGTTTTGACAGTAACTGGTTGTAAATAGTAGATAATTATTAATAATTTTAAAGATATTTTAATTAGCTTTATAATTGTAAAGATCATTTTGACCCAATGCTTTCATAATTGTAAAGATTACTTCAACCCAATACCACAATCTTAAATGTGGGTTCTGCTTAAGGTGTTGTCAAAGAAGCCTAAAGAGTACAGACAAAGTGATTCAGGCTTCCACTCAACTGACTTGTTTTCCAGAGGGGGTCAATTAGCATGAGTCATCCTGGACAAGTTGAGACAGATGTGCCAACTGAGAGACAGACCCAAAAGAAAGCTGCTGACCCAGCTCCAGATTGGATGGCCAACGAATATCAAAGTTCAATAAAAGGCAGCTTGACTGACTGAGAGGAGAAAAAAGCAAGGCTTAAGACACTATTGTTCATAGCCATCCCATCTGAAAGTATTGCTGTATATACTGTAAATAGTTGTAAAATAAATGGACTTGATCTGAGATAAAAGAGTCTTAAGGAGTTTTCTGACAGACCACAAATCCAGAAATCAGATGGCACAATTCTGAAATTTACTGGTGTAGACTTCTAAATCCATCACTATATTGTATTGATGACTAACAATTAATTAGGATAAAATTAATATAATGAAAATTTACACATACAATCTTCTTAAGTTTCTTATGGTATAAACTTATCATTATAAATTTTACGTTAATTATGTTATTTTAAAAAATTGTCTTAACTTATATAGCAATTTTTGTTTATTTTATGAAAATAACAGTTATGCATTTGCAAATTCATGCACTCTTAAATGAAGATATAAATTCAGACTATTCCATAAAAATCTACAAAAATCAGTTTGTATGTTTGCTCCAGGAAAAAGCACCATATAAATTACAATT